CCAACACTGGAAGTCTTTAAGAAGAGGTTGGATAGCCATTTGTCTGAAACGGTATAAGATTTCCTGCTTAGGCATGGGGTTGGACCTGAAGACCTCCAAGGTCCCTTCCAACTCTGCTATTGTATATATGTATGTAAGATTTATTTTTCCAGACTGAAATGCAAAAGCAATCAGCATAAATGCTTTCAGATTCTAGTGTACTTTGATATGTCATCTTCCATCAAATATGAATGGTAAATTCTCATGATCTGCATTTAATCCCTATTTATTCAAGGACACACAAGACTGGTCTAGATAATTTGAATGATTAGATAAAATGTTTAGCAGTGGGAGTATAGCCCACTATAGACTTATTGTATGGTAGTTGTGATCTGAGAACCATATATCCGACACTGGCAAACTTTTTATCTAATCATTTTCCATCAAATCTGAATGGTAAATTCTCATGATCTGCATTTAATCCCTATTTATTCAAGGACACACAAGACTGGTCTAGATAATTTGAATGATTAGATAAAATGTTTAGCAGTGGGAGTATAGCCCACTATAGACTTATTGTATGGTAGTTGTGATCTGAGAACCATATATCCAACACTGGCAAACTTTTTATCTAATCACTTTCCATCAAATCTGAATAGTAAATTGTCATAATTTGCTTTAAATCCCTATTTGTCCAAGGACAAAGAAGACCAGTCCAGATAACTTATATATTTAGATAAATTTTTTACCAGTGTTGGGGTGGGATGTATGGTTCTCAGATCACAATTATAGTATGTCTATAGGGGGCTACACTCCCAGAATCTATGTCAACTTGCTGTGGGACAACTCACTGTTGGACAAGAGTTACACTTAGTGGAATAGAATCATTAAAGAAAAAATGCAAAAGGAGGGACAGAATGAAATGTAAATGACAAACATTCAGATATTTTTATTTATTTTAAATAATTAAATTGAATTGTTAAATTGTCCCACGGTGAGTTGACTGTGGTGAGTTTTCCCATGGCAAGTTGACTTGTCGCAAGTTGGCCATGGCAAGTTGGCTGCAGTGGTTTGGCTGTGGCAAGTTGTTCCATTTTGCTTCAAGGATTAGCTCTGTTTGCAGCTCATTCTTTTGGGGAGTTAAAAACACAGCATTAACAAACGTTTTTTCAGCCCAACTACCATATACCTCTGTTCTCTTGTAGCCTTCACTTAGCATATTATCAGATCCTGTATATGAATAACCTCAATTGATGCTTCGTTTAGTATATGTCCTTTTAACCTTATATATTATTACCGTGTTTCCCCCAAAATAAGACAGAGTCTTATTTTCTTTTGACTCCCAAAATATTGCTTGGGCCTTATTATTGGAGGGGCTTATTGTTTTGGAATTGCCGAGCAGCTGCTCTCTTGCAAGCGGGCTTCCGAAGGGCTGGGCAAAGTTTCAGGGGTGAATGGCTGTGTTGCGCTGGTGGTACAACGCACTCCCAGAGCAACCGCTGCTGGAAGACTCGGCAGCCGATCTCCAGAATTTGGAAGCCCAAGAAGTTATGCTTGGAGTGTGGCGGCGGACAGAAAGAGAATCTCATGGTAAACAGGTGAGGGAAAACACAACCAAGTGCTGCAACCTCTCTGTCTCATTATTATAATTACTGGTTCCTGCTTCCCATTTTATAAAACTGTGGTCCC